AAATTTTAGTTATAATCTTCAAACTTTTTTATGTAAATTTTTAAAACTTAAAAAAAATTATTACAAATAACTAAAATGTATAGTTAAAATACTTTAAAAGTTATAATAAGAATAATGTTTAAATATATTTTTAGTCTCTCAAATTTATAATAAAAATAAAGCTAATCAAGTTTGTTGAGCTAATGCGCACCCATCCGATGAATTATAAGGTTTTGGTTATAAATTTCAAGATTGAATTAAATGTATGTCCATTTAAAGTTTGTGTCATAAATGAGGTTAGGCTAGCATGGTCAAGCCTATGCTGCCTATTTCTTTTCTAAATTTTAGTATTTTATATTTCACTTATTATTGAAAAGTAAAAAAAAAAAATGAAGAGTCTAAGAGTAAGAAATATGTTAAAAATGGGACTCATTCAAATGTGAGTCAGTCACATCATACACAAACTTCATGTTTATTTATAGGAGAAAAAAAAGCATGCTAATATCATTTAACTTCTATGAAGTTGATTTTATAATTTTTGTACAATTAATTTCATTGTTATTATTATTATATATATTTATATTAATTATCTTAGTTAGTTATTTATTTTATAGGAATTTGAAGAATTTGTGAGCACAACAACAATTAATACCAATAAATTTGAGCTTCATATTTACTTAGAGAAGCATAGAGTTATATTATCATGTGATTTTAATATCTTAGCTTATTGAAAATACAAAAAATCGTTGTAATTGTATTAACATTGCATAGATAGCTTGTGATATACTAAGTATTCTAATAACTATTGTGATATTATAATACACTTTTAGCATTGACTCTTGAATTTTGAATAAATATATGTTTTTTTGCAAGATGAAACATTTCAAGATTCATTATGCACACATAGTTGATTATATGATTTTATAAAATGGTAGATGAGATTGTTTTATGATATATAATAATTTTTTTACAATAAAAACGTGTTAATGAAAATAATTATCACAATAATTATCAACTTTGAAATTTAAAAAAAAAAAAAAGATAAAAATATGGGAGGTTCAAAAAGCCTGTAGCCCGAGAAAGGCTAGGCTTAGGCATTAGTTTAAAAGACTAAACAATTGGAGCATTTTTGGTTCAATCCAATATAACAACAAATAAAAGAAATACTCTTTTTTTTTCATTTTTCTTAAGACATATTTACTTTTTAACTAATTTATTTATATTTGTTTCAAATATCAAAAGTGACTAGTTCAACTTATTTGACATTTATGTTTCTTAATTAAGGATAAAAGTTTGATTTTCACCTTAAACATGAAATTGTGACTAAAAGTATCACTTTAACCCTATAAAGTCAATCTGATGAAAAGAAATTATACTTGTTAAACAAAAAAAAAAATTCAAATAAATTTTTTTTTAGATTAAGTATACTCTTTTTCTATTATAACCGAATATAATACATGTATAGCTCACCCCATTAATAATAATAAATTATATTTGTAATCTTTATCTTATTTTTAAGATTTATTTTAGAAAAAATTATTATAATCATTTATTATGTGAATTTGGTTTATTTTATTTTTTAAAGTAATAATCATTTTATATTTTGAAACACAATTTTAATTTCTTTTTACTTATTTAATAGGTGAGGAACTATTAAGCTCTGTAAATTAATATTTTAAAAAAACCATAAATATAAACTTAAAAATCATGTGAAAATGAGTGAAGAAAAAAAAGTAGTTGATATATATATATATATATATATATATATATTTTTTTTTTAACTTTTCCGTTGTTTCATTCGTTTTCATGCAATTTATTTTATTTTATTTTTATAGTTTTTTTGTTTGTTTGTATATTTATT